CCCCTTTAAAACCCTTTAAGTGGTTTTCCTTGTAGAAGTCTACTTACCTTACTGGGAACCCAAGGAGACTAGGGCCCTGGCTTTCTGGCTCTTCCTGGGCTTCTTACAGAGCCCCTAGTCTAAGAGTCCCTAGGCCAAGAGCCTCACCCTTTGGCTCCCACCCTTTGGCTCGTGCCTCTGGCAAAGTGCTGCTTTAAATAGAAGCTTAGGACTCTGCAACAACTCACAACTCACCTACACACTCCCAAACACAGTCCCCCACACAGTACCCTCTCAGCTACATCACCTCAGCTGAAAGTAAGTAAAAAAACCACTCATCCCTCTAGCGGCTCTATCTCCTGCTCCTTCTCAGAGCTCAGCTGGGGCTGGGGCTGGCTATATGACCTCCTAAATTAGAACTATGGACAATTCTCTAAAAACACTATACCTTTTCTTCAAGAAATTTTCTCTCCAATGTGCAGATTGTCTCCTGATGTTCTTTTTGGGTGATATCCAAGTTTTCTTTTAGCTAGGATTGTAAGATGCATTTGATCATTATTTTAGTTTTCTAGATGACAATCCAAATAATATTCCTTAGAGAGGTACTTCACTCTTCCCCTCCTCAGCATTTCTGACACACAGGTTTTCTTTCTTCTATTAGTTTTGCGCGTATCTGATCTCCCTAAGAGGTCACCTTTGATTTTATGGTTGGCCTTCTCTCATTTTCATTTATTTGCATTTACTCTGTGAGTATTCTTTCAACAAAGCACAGGCCCTTATATGCTAATCCTTCCATTTTGATACAACTTTTCCTTCACTCAAAGTTTACTGAAACTCCGTTTTAAGATACCCATGTTGAAGTGTACATCTCATTTTCTTTGAGGGAATATATATATATATATACACACACACATACACACACACACACACACAATTATCTGGAGGTTAAATTATCTGGAGATTACCGAGATGTGGTTTTTCTCCTAAAATCCAAGAAACGCATATAATTTTGAAATTCATTCTCATTAAATGCATCAGACCGCATGGCATTTCTCCAGTGAAAGTCACATCCTGGCAGCCTACAGAACTATAAAAAAATACTGTTATCCTCCTGAACTACCCTGCAACTCAAAGCCATAAAATGAGAAAGGATGGGATAGGGAAAAGCCTCATTTTGAACCCTAATAAGGGATGATGCTTACTAATTTAGTCTGAGGGGATACAGCACCCCCTAAGGAATTATTTAGTGACTGCAGGATATCACCCCAAAAGTAAAATAAGAATGATCAGTGTTCATGCAAACAAAACACCAGACATTATCTGAAAATATTCTCACAAACTAGCATAAAACAGAATCATCTTGCAAGGGAGCTCCAAGGATAAGTTCTTGGCAACCAGTTCCCATGTATCTTTCGAAAACACACAAAGGGAATATGAAAAATAACACTCTTGAACTATGAAGCAAGCATCACTACAGAGTAGATAAAGATGAGGAAATTTCAACCTCACAAACGACAAGAAAAGGTGCATTAAAAAGACCAGTTCCAGACTGGTGAGTTAGTTCTTCACCCTGTAGTTATTCCCCATAGAAATACTTAACCCCGTCATTCACCACTCCTGAACAGTTACAAATACAGCTCTTTTATTTCAGTATCTCCTCAAGGCCCAGATCTTTCATTCTCAGAGGTATTACACATATTAAAACCAACTGAGGGCAGGGCAACTGCAGAACATAAGATATGATTATGTTTAGATAATTTATAATGGCCTCTAAGACATAAACATTGCTTTTAAGAATTGCTTCTAAAAATAATAGTTTCTAAACAAAAGAATTGATAAGATTTTTTGTCTCCTTTTCTTTTTGTCTCTTTTTTCTGTCCACTTCATGGTAGTTTAATAAAATTCAGTTTTATTACTTAAAAGGTTTATCTCCTATTTCATAAAAGTATTGTACCAAATATATGCTTGGTTATGTACAGATTTAAAAGATCCCTCGTACATCCATTGTTGGTGGAGCTGCCCGGTAATATGTCAGTTTTGGAACGAGGTAGCTAGGCGTATAAATGAAATGACCAACCAGAATATCTCTTTTACACCAGAAGTGATATTGTTGAGTAGATGGGACGACTCGGCGAAAGAGGACAGGAGGAACCTCACGTCGCTTCTTTTTGCAACGGCTAAACTAACAATAGCCTCTGTATGGAAATCCCCTAATCCCCCCACACTGTCTCTCTGGCACGATAAGCTATGGGAACAGTTCGTCATGGCTAAAATCAATGACCTAAGTCGAGAGACCCAGACACCTTACATCACATTACATACGAAATTTAGAAGGCTTTGGTCACCGGTGGTGAAATATATGTCAAAATACGAAATTCTCCCCACAAATATGAATTATCACAGGTGGTTGTTCTTATAACGTATCGCTCACTTTAATATTCTGGACAGTTGAATAAGTCTACATCTATTGAATGGTTAATAACATTATTCAATGGGGCAAACGTTCAGAGGAGACAATAGATAAAATGTCGAGTAAAGTATAGCAAAAAAGATCATCTAGATGTTAACCAGGGTTCCTTAAAGTTCATATCTTAACCACTATACATTCATTTACTGTATACCCCTTGGGTCCTTTTGAGTTGGTGTTGTTTCTTTCTCTGCATTTGAATGTACTTTTAAGTAAAAGAATAAAAATATAAATTAAAAAAAAAAAAGATCCCTCAACCAGAACTGGAGCAGGTGAGATGCAGGACACCTGTACTTCTCATCTGTTCTCTGCCTAACAATAATTATATGCATCTCGCAGAATAAGATTCTAACTCCACCAGCTTTTATTAGAAAAGAAACTAGCATTTAGAGTTGCAAATATGTGCTTGAAAATATGGTGTCAAAATTTAACACAAGATCAGACAATGAAGCAAATTTTAAAATTCCTTACTTCACTGTGTTTTTCAATTTTTGTGAAATCTAAGCCTTGGATGACTACAATTTTGGAGAGCTGGCTCAAGTTTCTCACATTTGTTAAAACAGTATTCAGAAATTAGAGGAGGGGAGAATCATGTGTGCTTCCCTAAACTCTTTGGAGGAAGGGGTGGGAGAAAGAAATAATAGAAACTGTAACAAAATAACATATTCATCATCCATGAACACATACAAATGATATGGCTGAGGTTGCCAGCATGGTTTATCCTAGATCTAGTAAAGACTCTTCAATTGGCATTTAGTGAGGATCTGTGAAAAAAAATTCTAGTATTAAGATTGGGTCCAGTGGCACCTTTAAGACCAACAAAGTATAATTCTGGGTAGAAGTGAGAACTGAGTAACTTAGCATGTGTTAGATGCACACTTCTTCAGATACATTAAAACAGACTTCCTCAAGCATTGCATATAGGTAAGGGGGGTTAGTTGCCAGGGAGGGCTAATTAGAGACAAGATGCATAAGTAACTGAGCAGTAAGTATAGCTAAAATTGGATTAACGCAGTTTGTAAGATCTGTGGATAACAGCATATTAGCATACATATAATAAAAGAGTTAACAACAGATGTGAGAACGAAGTTTGAGTCCAGTGGCACCTTTAAGACCAATAAAGTTTAATTCTGGGTATAAGCAAGAACTGAGTGACTTAGCATGTGTGGTGAGATAAGAACTCCATATCTCTGTATTGTCTTTAGTGTTGTCATAACTTGTAATTCAGCAATCACCTGTTCCAGTCTGTTTCTGAAATTCCTTTGCAGTAAAACAGCTACTTTGAGGTCCCCCAATGACTGCCCTGGGAGGTCAAAATGTTCTCCTACAGGTTTCTCAGTTTTATGATTCTTGATGTCAGATTTGTGTCCATTTATCCTTTGGCATAGGGTTTGGCCTGTATGCCCTATGTAGAGAACTGAAGGGCATTGTTGGCATTTGTTGGCATATACAGTGTTAGAAGATAAGCAAGTGAATGAGCCTAAGCTGGTGTGTAGTTGATGCTGTTAGGTCCAGTGATTGTGTTGTCTGGCTGTATGTGGCAACAATGTTGGCATCTAGGTTTATTGCAAGCTCTGGTACCAGTGTCCATATTCAAACTTGATGTTGTATTATTGTGGGTGAGGAGCTGTTTAAGATTGGGGGGGCTATCTGTGTACAAGAAAAGGTTTGCCCCCCAATACTTGTGAAAGAGAACTGTCATTATTCAGTAGAGGTTGTAAGTCGCTGATGATACGTTGAACTGTTTTGAGCTGAGAGCCGTACATGACCATTAGTGGTGTGCTCTTATTGTCTCTTTTGGGCCTGTCTTGCAACAGGTTTTCTCTGGGTATCACTCTAGCTTTGTTAATCTGTTTCTTGACTTTATCAGGTGGATACATTAGTTCCAAAAAGGTTTCTTGTAGATCTTCCCAGTATTAAGTGTATTTTGTGATTTGATATCAAATTGGAAAAATATTTTTGTTTCTTTTTATCCTCTTTTATTTGATTCCAACATTTAAGGCTATGTTTCCTCTTTGTGACTTATAGTGCCATCCTAAGCAAAGTTAAAGTAAAGGTAAAGGTTCCCTGCTCGAAAGCCAGTCGAATCCGACTCTAGGGTTGCGGTGCTCATCTCCATTTCAAAGCCGAAGAGCCAGCGCTGTCCGAAGACGTTTCCGTGGTCATGTGGACGGCATGACTAAACACCAAGGCGCACAGAACGCTGTTACCTTCCCACCGAAGTGGTACCTATTTATCTACTTGCAATGTCTTGCTTTCAAACTGCTAGGTTGGCAGGAGCTGGAACTAGAGACGGGAGCTCACTCCATCATGCGGCACACTCGGGTTTCGAACTGCTGAACTACTGACCTTCCCCAGCCTGCAGTTCAGCGTCTTAACCACTTGAGCCACCGCAGTTCCAAAGCAAAGTTACACCCTTCTAAATTCACTGAGGTCAGTGGCATTATGACAGGTGTAAATCCGCTTACTCCCTCTTCCAGTTTACTAGTTATTCTCATTGGCACGGTCACAATGGTCTCCTACCCTGATTTATTGTTTTTACTTAAAATATTGAAATATTTTAAAAAGAAACCATACGCAAATTACATTAACCACATGCAGTTTTGCTATATAATTCAGCTGCGATTGCATACTTTATTGTATATTTTCATTATAGACCATGAACTACAGTTTTTTCCTTGCATATCTTAAAGTAATGACATGGGAGTAAATCACAATACAGTGCTAAACAGGATTACCCTCTTCCAAGTCCAAGTCCATGGAAGTTAATGAACTTAGGAGAACATTAGAAGAAGTTAATGGACTAACAGTGCAATCCTAAAAACACTTTCCTGGGAGTAAGCCCCACTGAGTTGATCACAGAAGGATGCTGAGTAGACCTGCTTAGGATTGCTCTCTTAGATTCCACTCTCCTCCCTTGCTTGCCCCTCCACTTTTGGTCTGGTCTCCCAATCTTCCCCAAGAGAAAGTCATCAGGGAGGGGGAATCTTGCTCCCCCTTCCCTCTCCTCCGGCTCATCCCACTCTGCACTGCTGTGTCTACCCTCCCACTCCCCTGCCACTGTTCCTGCCCAATCCTCTTCTCACCATCTGCCTCTCAAACATTCTGTCTGCCCTCCACTTACATAGTGGTTAGAATGTCAGACTAGGATTTGGGACGACCTGTTTCAAGTGCTCCGTTCAGCCATGAAAGCCTGACGGGTGAACCTTGGCTCATCACAATCAGCCTAACCTACCCTTACCAGGTTGTTGCTGTATGGTGATGTGAAAAATCCCTCCCTGCCACTCTGGTCTCCTGTCCACTCCCTCTTGCCAGTCTTGCCCCCTATGAGGAGCAGCAGAGGCCACAAATATCTATCATCTATCAAAATAAATAAATAAAAGCAAAACATCCAAAACATCTGGTCCATGAGGTCGCGAAGAGTCGGACTCGACTGTGCGACTGAACAACAATAAATATTTATAATAACCTTACATCTTCGAGTTCTTTCTCTATACGTGCTTTCTCCTTACGAAATTCCTGTATCATTTTCAGTTCAATCTGAATAAGACCAATTTCTTTAGCCTTTTTATGGAATTTCTCCTCCAACTCTTCCAGCTGTTTTGTGAATTGCTCAGCCTGCAAATTAGACAGTTAGCAAGAAGTGAACAACTAAGAATAATAAGTGGGGAAAGTAATCAGTAAAAACAAATCATGGCAAGTGGACACACACCGCCTGTAAAAGCAATGAATATAAATATGTAAATGTGGAAAACTAACCTGTAGAAGTATTAAACAAAAGAAAGCTTTTGAACGGATTTGTTATTATTTGGTTGCTATCTACTGCTGTGTGAAATCACCAGATTCAGAACTTCAGCTCTCTTATACTTTGATCTAGGCATGCTTACGCAAAATTAAGTTTCTCTGAATTTAATGGATCTTGTGTTTGAGTACACTGTTTATTGCCTTGATGCGAATATCAACATATTTTGTGACTTCAGATTTTAGCTGAAGGGCATTCTAGGTTAAGTCCCATCTTTTCTAGAAAAACACAAAAGAATGAATAGTTGAAGATCTATTCATGGCATGCTGTCTCTGTAAGGAACTTGGGCCAGATCCTGACAGAACTGTAGAAGTTAAGTGTGCATCGATGCACACTTGAGAAGCTGAACTGAATACTAACATGGACTGACTAATTCTTTAATTCATTGACTTAAACGAAAAGTTATAAGTTTTAATACTAACTGAATACTAACTGTTAAGGATCTTCCCTCTTGGGTTTTTAGTCATAGTGTGGGTTTAATTTGCTGTCCTTTTATCCCGGGGTACTTTTCCCTCCCCCTTTTCTTTTCTGTTAGTCTGTAGGTGTAACAAAAAACTAATAAAGCTACCCTGCTTTCAGGGGATTAAAAAAAAAAAGAACTGTAGAAGTTAAAGTTTTATGTTCATTTTGCAAAATCTTAACCAAAGGCTATCTAGTAAGTTCAGAAAGTGTGTGCAAATTTTAACATTTAGGATATGCCTTCATCAAATAAAGGTCCAGGGCACTCAAATATTTTGAAGACTGGAGTTTGAAATTTGGTAAATAAAGTTTTGTTAGTGCACTGTTTATTGTACTATCATAGTATTTTGCATTGTTCTAGATTTTGTAATGCCTTTGATTGCACTGTTTGTTCTACAAATTATACTATTTTACTACATTTGTTCTCTAATTTTTAATCTTGTTTTACTGCATTGTTTGTTGTATGTATTATGCTGGTTTTTGCATTGTTCTGATTTTATAATCTAGGTTTAAGTACTGTTATATTGTTTTTATTACATTGTTACATTTTTATTATTGCTTTGAGTCTCAATGAGAAAGATGGACTATAAATGAAATAAATGTACATGAAGAAATGTCATATAGTTAATCTACATATTTCTCTGTTAGATCTAATCAAGATGTGGTTGAAGTACCCCATGTTACCAACAGCATCAAAGGAAATTTTTATTCACCAGTTTTTCATTTTCTTCTTTGGCTTGCTGCTTCACCTCATTCATTTGCTGCTTCATCTTTTCAAGCTATATAATAAAAAAAATCCATAGAATTCTGAAAGTTAAAAAAACTTTTCTATTCCTTCTATCAGTAACTAGAAAATCAATTCTCACATCTCAAGCCCTGTTCAAGTCAGCCCAATAAATATTTAAGGAAAGACACTCTGTATGAGCCTAGCTGGGTAGCCAATGTTGGTCTGCCTTAGAGAAGCAAGATTCAAGTCCAGCAGCACCATAGAGACCAACAAGATTTCCAGAATATAAGCTTTCAAGAGTCCCCACATAAGCTCTCAAGAGCCCCCAAAGATTTGACTCTTGAAAGCTTATATTCTGGAAATCTTGTTGGTCTCTAAGGTGCTGCTGGACTCGAATCTTGCTCTTCTATAAACCTAGTTTGCTCAGGAGTCACTACTGAATAAGTTGACCTTATCTGAAAACAGGTTCCCCTCTTCTAGGCACCAGGCTTGTCCTAATCCTATTGTTGAGAGATGTACTCTGCACATGCTCAAGGGCCCAAGTTTGTAACTACTACGAATTCCTCCTCTCTGGTGTTACTGGATGTTCCTATGACCCTTATCTCCAAAAATAGTACAGTAGGGAATGGTTTTGATCTGAAATTAAAATGGTGAAAACACAATATTTCAGAGCACTTTGGTGCTCAGAGTGGTGATTCTAATGTTCATGGAAAAAATGGGGGCAGTGATTAGACAAAGGCTGTGGACAAAACTCTGAAGCAAGGGAAGGGTGGCTATTATGGATTAAATGGGAGCTACAATCCATGTTTATGATTGGAGGCATACAACAAGGTGCTTCAAGTGATGAAGGAATAAAAAGCACAGGGCATAAGAATATGATCTTATGGATTTGTCATCATACAAAAAAATGAAACTGTTCGAATCTGTTAGTGTTTCATCTTCATTTCAGAGGTTTCTTCCCTTTTCATTTTAGGAGAACTATTTTTGAGCACTTAATGTTAGATGCAAACTGATTTTCCAGTGACAAAAGTGAGGGAACAATTTTCACTGAGTACCCTCTCTTGCTGCAGAACTCCCCCATCTCATTCCTGAGAGGGGTGTTCCCTGTCTCTCAGGAGTAGCATTTCAGGGACATTTTGGGCTATAGGAACAGGGAGATGAAAGGAAGTCATGCTCCACTGACCAAAACCCTTCTGTCAACAGACATTTTAAACATTTTTCTTGCAGTGTACAGCCCACAAGACTCATACAAGTTGCTTTAAATAGGATCCATTGTGTATTTTTAAGACATTCCGATGGTCTAAGAATGCCAAGAAACATTTTTCCTACTTTTCTTCTCTACTTATGAAAACCTAGTTTAAGATTCTGAATGAAATAGGATTGCATATTCAAGCAAATGAGGTCTCCGGTTCAGTTTCAAATGTGTTTATTGTCTACTTCAGGAACTCTTTCTTCTCAATGAGCAAAAGTAAGCACGCATTAAAAGCAGAGCCATAAGTGAATTATTTTCTAGCCATATGATAACCCATAATGGTACCGTGCATGTCACACCTACCCTAAGACTAAAATTGCTAAAGGCTAGTATCTGACAGTGACCACTTTCCATCAAATACTTAAGACTGGTCACCTGTGATTACCTTGCAAACAATTACTCGCTGTTGACCAAGTTAAAAGATGGCAAGAGCCTGCGAGGGAAGGACTGGCCGGACCTCCCGTACTTACCAGCTCTTCCTTCTCGAAATCCTGCTTCTTGAGGAAGCTGATCACCTCCATCGCGTCTTTCTCCAGCTTTCGCTGCTGCCACTCCAGCTCCTCGTTGTTGCAAGCGAGGCGGCGGGCGGCCTCGCGGTATTCTCTGCGGGAGACCTCCGTCACCTCCAGCCTGGCCTCCCATAACGCCGCCGCAGCTTTCGCCCTGTCGGCCTCGGCCTCCTTCTCCAAGCTCTTTAATTCTGGCTTACTGCCTCGGCCGCCGCCCTTCTTGGCCCTACGGAAGGGGAACAACACACCGGACGAGTAAAGAGTCAGGGACCTCGGCAAAGGGATGACCGCAGTCTTTCCCCCCCTCCCCTGCAGAGCTGCCCACTCGCCGGCCTTCCTAATTACCTCCCTCCCTTGGAGCCTTTATCTTTGCCTTTGTCTTTCCCTTTTGCCATGGCAACGCAAGCTTCGCGCCCAAAGGCACCACCTCCTATATGGGCTTCTTCCGAGGCTACCCGTCACTATGGAAACCAAGCGGCGCGGACTAGTGACATTGAACGCACTTGCCGGTGACGCGATGCGCAGTGTGTTGACGTGACACGCGGCACCGGCGAGATGTGGCGGGTAGGGGGCTTGGACAAGGCGGTGAGTGGAGAATTGAACGTGGGAGTGTTGAAGTGTCTCTCTGTTTTCCCATTTCTCGGACAGTGACGAGTTTGGGTCAATTTTCGCTCTTCCTGTCTTCTTGTGCACTTCTGGCTCCTTTCTCACCTCTCAAGTGCCCTGGTTTTGGCTTTGGTTGCATTTGCAGAGCTGCCGCTCCATCCAGCTCCGTTTTACGAATGCCGTGCTCGCATGTTTCGATCTTTCCACCAGAGACTTGTCCTCTGTTTCAGCATGTTGCATCAAAACTATGGAAAATCAATCCGTTGCTTCGTTGGCACTTGGTCAGTGTTGAAAATATCCCTGTCCATGCCTAAGCAGTGCTTTCAACAACAGTAAAATACGGGATTTCATGAAGTACAAATTCATCTCTTCCCTCAAATTCTACTTGTGCCTAGTGTGATATAGTGTTTCAGGAGCACTCTGGGGTAGACTTTTCCAGGGGGCTGATGTTGAATTGATGCAGTGCCAACTGGAACAGGGTGAGTAAAACATACCTTTCTATTTCTCTGAGGCATGCTTAGCATTGTGCCTTTTCCCTTCACCTTAGTAAATAATTTTATGTTCTCATGTGCCCTTGAACCTGCATGGCTCAAATAAAAACTTGACTTAGATAAACTTTATTATTTGCATGTGATAAATGATAAACCCATGTTTGCAGAGAGTGACTGGTTTGAAGTTTAAGCCACAGTACTTTTGCTAGTACAATTAATAGTTAAAACATTAACTGCAAAGAAAACCTGGAAAGGGGTAAGTGCAGATGTAGTGATTTCTTTCATGGCTGCCTGGCTAGTGAACTTGCGTGGGGGGGAGGGGAGATTTTGAGTAGATAAACATTTGGCTAGAGATACAGCATGATTTTAACATACTGATTTCTGCAACCATAAGATAACTGGGAAGATCAAGTTGGCAAGATTTGGCTGTAGATTTGCTCTTGTTTGTTTTCTCCATTTTAATTAGGAGTGAACTTTGGAAGTGTTTTTCTATGGATACCACCAAGACACTTGTACGCTTCCTCATAATCTGTAGACTTGGCTACTACAGAGGTGGTTTCTTTACTTCGGCACCACCTTTTTCTGATCTCTGCCACCTGCCTGTCTTGTGTTTTGTTCAGCTGAAACATGTTTTTCCTGTTCCCTGGTTCCTGACCCTGACTTTCTTTTTCATACTAGAGGTATTATAAATTCTCTGTGTTTTCCAGTCTGTTATCTTTCCTACTTCATCTCATCTTCCTCCTCTCATTTATCCTGCCTCTATCTAGTACATTTCTTCTCCCCCTTACTCCAGGGAGCTCAGAGCAGCATATGTGCTTCTCCTTACTCATTTTATCTTCAAAACAAATCTGTAAAAAGAATGATTGAGCCAATGGCACTGAGTAAATTTTTTTTATAGAGTGGGTACTTGAAGCTGCTTCTCCCAGGTTCAAGCTCAGTGCTCTAATTATTATGTCATGTTGGCTTCTGTTCACTCTTATGTTATCCTCTTTATAAAATCTCATACTTCTGTCACCTTGTGTCAGCCCTGTACTATCATACCATTAGAACCAGTTTGGTGTAGTGGTTAAGAGCAGCAGACTCTAATCTGGAGAACTGGGTTTGATTCCCCACTCCTCTACATTAAGCCAGCTGGGTGACCCTGGGTCAATCACAGATCTCTCTCAGCCTAACCTACCTCACAGGGTGTCTGTTGTGGGGAGAGGAAGGGAAGGGGATTATAAACTGCTTTGAGACTCCAAGTGAAGGGTGGGGTATAAATCCAACTGTTCTTCTTCACCTCCTCCTGTAAGCAGTCTCATATCTTCCCTCAAATTATTTCTCTTTTGCTTTGTCTGTATTTTCCTTCTTTCCTTTCACTTGAGGGTGGGTTTTTTGCCTAATTATTGGCTCTTAACCTTAAATCACTGACTATATGCCCTTATTTTCAGATAATGCTTTTTAGGAATGGAGTCTGCATTATGCATTTTCTGGGGTACGACTTTCATTTTAGAAATTCATGTGTTGCTTTTCAGTTAAAAGCTACATACAACCAGTTTACAGAAATCCCTTGCTTTTTGCTGTATTTTGGTGGAAAGATCTATCTGGTGTCAACTGACATACAAAGAATTGTATTCAGTGCTGGAAAATCTTTAGTGTTCCTTGCTACTGTATTGCTATGTTTAGGTAGGTCTGTACTTTATTTCAGATTTTTAGTCTCATATAGCTCATGTGCTTTTTCATGAGGGGAAAAAGGAGAACAATGTATGCTGCCCTGAGTTCCTTGGAGGAATGGCAGCTTGCAAACATACCAAATAAGTATCTTTAATATTTTTAAGATGGTGGAGATTTCACCCTATTAGATCTGTCTCTAGCCTTTGATAATTTATCCTGAGCCATTTACAGTATTTCAGTGTCAAATGTTGCAAAGCCATTATGAAGTCAATGGCAGTTTGACTATACCGCAGTTGTAATGCATATGAGATTTGAAGTTTCTATGTGATCTGTTTATTAACATGAATATTATTTACACATGAAACTGCTAGTTTTATTCTATAGTTAGTGACTAAAGGGTTGTATTCCATATATACACACAAAGTACTGGGAAAGCACATGGTTCTCCTTAGGATTGCAGCCTAAATAACTATGAAGTATGTTACCCTCAGAGATAGTAACTGGCTCAAGATGAACCAGGTAGGCTCATTGCTGTGTACAGAGCTGACTCCAGATCTCTCCAGTCTTGTTCTGGTACCTTCTGTTGATGTGAGGGATGGCTCCAAGGCTTGGAAGGAAGGGGGAGGGTCCCACCAGGCGTGGGGGTTGTCATGATGGTGTTTTCAGTGGGGGGGGGTTTTCAGTCACTGTATATTCCTCTAGGTAGGGAGCAGAGCAATAAACCTGATACATTTGGTTAAGCAGCAGCCCCAAATGCGTGTCAGATAACAAATCTTTTACTGTACTTCAGGCCTTTAGGTATTTGGACCAACTTGTCATGATTAACAGTACAATCTATACTTTCACAGTAACCTTGATATGCAGGATACATTGGCCAGTACTTTTTCTGGATTTTTCATGTCTTTCTTGTGCTTGTTATAGTGGCACTACTTCCTGTGGTGGTTTATTTGTTACTGTGCTTCTGGTTTTGAGATAATATTTATTTCATTCAAACTGGTGATAGCACCCTCTATTTTGGGTGTTCATCTTAACCTAATGTGGAAACAACAGTTGTTGTTGCACAGAATAGCTGTACATTTATGCAAATGTTGCTTTTTTCCCTCTGGCCGAATTGTGCTAGCTGTTGGTAAAGTTCAGGATTCAGTTCTTTAAGTGCTATGTAGCTTAGGCTTGTGCAAGATTTCGATTTGTCATACGAATTATTGCCATTTTATTTTGTTTATTTGTTGGGCCAAAAACCCTTCAGTCTGCCTATCAAGCTAGCTAAACACTGCTGGGTGAGGATAGGCGAGAGGAGTCAGCAGATTAGTAGCTGTCCCTGTAATGGTGACTTGACAGTTTTCTTATCTGAAAGTCCAGGTTGTCCCGCTGGTGATACACAATATCCATTTGAACGCAGGTGAAAACAGGACATAGGTTTAAAGGTTAACTCTTGCCTGTGGTAACTAGAGAAATGGAAGAAAAGGCAGAGGGCAGGTAAGGAGCAGCAAATTTGAAATGGGAGCAGATGAAGGCCTGAGCTGGTGGGTCCACATGCCAAATACTGATTATACATTGGTGGACAGATACAATTAGAGGGTTGAGAACACAGGTAATGAAATCATTAAATGTTGAAAAGCCGATGCATAAGGTAGAGTCTGGCAACTTAGGAACTGGATGAAGCTTACTGGAGGTAGGAACAGGCAAGGGACTGTTAAATACCTTTGGAGATGGGGACCCCAACTCAGGAGAAACAAACTGGTAAAGCAGGGAGACTGGGGATCTTGAGTGGAAGGAGAGATGTCTTTTATAATCATGTATGTTTGGTTTGTGTGCATGAACAGAAAACACTGCAGCATGGTTGGTATTTTAGAAATCAGTGTCAAAAATGTGGGGGGGGGATCTTGCTCCTGCTTAAGTATACAGTGGAAACATTGTAAGAGACAATGTCTGCTTTAAAGAGGCACTGGCTGCATTTGAAATTTCAGCATAAATGTTACTGTGTACACTTTAGACTTTTCCATGAAGTTAGTCATTCAAGGACTGGGGTTGATTTCGGGATCTCTGGTGTATATTATTATTATTATTATTACCTATTTTTGATGTGCTGTTGACATGCTGTAACCAAACAAAGCTTTGGTGGAGACATTTGTTGTAAAAATTGTTTGTGTCTGATTTGGAAGTCTGAATTAATCTACATGAAGACAATAATCCTAGAGAAAGTAAGTAAAGGTATAGGGACAGAAAACAGCATTTTTCCATTTTGTCTCTCTAGAAGCAATACATCACTCTATAGCTAATACCAGTGCCACGTGGAATGGAATGTTTCCTCCCCTCCTCGTATACTGATTGTTCAAAGCAGCTGCCATCAGTGGGAAATGAAATTCTTATTGTCCATAGCTGTGAATGACATTTGTGTTCTCTGCCTGCCCAGCCTTCTAATTGTGACAGGACACAGAAGCCTTGGCCTGATTATAGTTTTGCTGAATTAAGTAATGAATTGTAGTATTGATCTCCATATTATCTTGAGCCTGTACATCTGGATACTGAGTGGTATGGGGGGAAGATAGCTTGTATGTCTATGGAATTAAGTTAAACACAAATTTCAAATGGATTCAAAACAGCAGCCTTTAATAACAGAGTTAAATTACCAAGGTTCTTTCTGTCGCTTGAAGTGTGGTGAGTCGTGCCTGCCACTGTGGGAGGGCCAGCTTTCAAAGATGTGGATAGCTTAGTGTTGTTAAACCTTTGCTACTAGTTTATACCTTTTGTCTCTAGGAACTTCTAGAACTCTGCAAGTCCTGATTCACAGAGCAGCTGTTCAAGGCTCCCAGTCATGATGGCACTTCCCTGGATCTCAGGCATTACTTTCCTTGTGCTCTCCTCCATTTACTGTATTGTTTCTCATCAAGACCCAGAGATGTGGTTCCAAAACCTCTTCCCACCTAAGGTGTGTCCTGCCAATGCCAGCATGGATACTTATTATGGTATCATGTTTGATGCAGGAAGCACAGGGACACGAATTCATATTTACACCTTTGTACAAAGAAGCCCAGGTAAGATCACATGGAAAGGTTGATGAGCAGATGTATTTCTCAAGAGTATGCCATGGAGCTCTTGGATCATAAGTGTTGGCTAATCTCAATATCAGTCACCTTTTCAGTATTCAAGAGTTGAAGAACAGGCTGGAGCACTTCTGCAACAATATCTTAAACTTTAATTCTCAAGGAGAGGTTCTCTTAGTGTTAGGAACTGGGGATTTATAAGCTGATTGGTGGCTTTTAGTTTGAAATACTTTGAAGCAGATTGAGTTTCATAAGGATAGAAATATGATCGTGATATGAGGCATAGCTCTATGCTCCTTGTTATATCAGTTTTTAAATTGATCTTAACTATAACTACCACCACCCCAAAGCTGTGTCCTCAAAGCAGCCCTTGGTGGATCAGAGGGAGGCCATAGAAAGCTGCCTTGTTTCACGAGATGTAGGAATGGGAAAACTTGGATGGATCACATTACAGGAATAACAATTTAACTCCTTAGTTTGGTTGTGAAGCTTGTTCCAAATCAGCATTTGCTGTCCAAAAGCATTGATTGTTATAACAGCTGCTTTATTTATTGTCATTTATTGCAGAAAAGCCTCCAGAATTAGAAGGGGAAATCTTTGAATCAGTCAAGCCAGGTCTCTCAGCTTATGCAGATCAACCTTGGAAAGTAAGACATTATGATGGATTCCTGTGTTTCTGTGGCTTCTCCCTTGCTCTTTCCTCATTTTAGATGAAGTTGATATAACTTGGAAAAGACAAGCAGAAAGAAAAAAAGTAATATAAGGACAAGGGGGAGTACGGGATAAGCTTTTACAACCAGGGTAGGTTTTGAGAAAGGGATTGAAGGAAACTAGAGAAAAAAAATTGAAAGATGCTTGAAAGCTGCTCCTCTCCCCAACACCACTGAAACATTAATTTTGTGGTTTGTGTCAATCTTTAGGGTGCAGAAACTGTCAGAAGGCTGTTAGAAATGGCCCAGGAAGCTGTGCCACCTAGCCATTGGAAGAAGACCCCAGTGGTATTGAAAGCCACGGCTGGTCTGCGCCTGTTAGCAGAGCACAAAGCCCAGGCTCTGCTCTCAGAGGTAAGGCTGGGTTGTAGCTGGAGAGTAGAGGATGCCAAACCCAAAAAGGAAAAAACAGTTCTGGAGAATGCAAAAGCTTGCATAGGTGCTTTTTGGTGTTTTGGTTGGTCTTAATAGAAACATGATACCTCAGTAAAGAGGTCCTGGAAGCTATTGGCTTTGTGTAAAGGTAATTACTTTATGTTAAGTTACTAGGTTGCAGGTCAGAGTAGGTTTTGAGGAAGGGATTGTAGGAAACTAGAGAAAAAATTGACAGTTGTTTGAAAGCTGCTCCTCTGAATACCCAAGGGTTAATTCTACAAACCCACCAGCACTAAATCAACCTTGGAAAGGTGCAGAAACTGTCAGAAGGCTGTTAGAAATGGCCCAGGAAGCTGTGCCACCTAGCCATTGGAAGAAGACCCCAGTGGTATTGAAAGCCACGGCTGGTCTGCGCCTGTTAGCAGAACACAAAGCCCAGGCTCTGCTCTCAGAGGTAAGGCTGGGTTGTAGCTGGAGAGTAGAGGATGCCAAACCCAAAAAGAAAAAAACAGTTCTGGAGAATGCAAAAGCTTGCATAGGTGCTTTTTGGTGTTTTGGTTGGTCTTAATAGAAACGTGATACCTCAGTAAAGAGGTACTGGAAGGTATTGGCTTTGTGTAGAGGTAATTACTTTCTTAATTATTATTATTTATTTTTTTGCTTGAGTGGGTATGTTTGTCATTACTTAGCCTCTAGGTTTTTGTACTTTGGGAGGGTTTTTTTTTAAAGATATGGTACTTGGCTTATATAGGAACTTGGGAATCTATATACTATTAGCCACATGTTTGGTGTAGTGGTTAAGTGTGCGGACTCTAATCTGGGAGAACCGGGTTTGATTCCCCACTCCTCCACTTGCACCTGCTGATGTGACCTTGGGTCAGTCACAAGCTCTGGCACAGCTGTCCTTGAAAAAGAGCACAAGTGGAGGAGTGGGGAATCAAACCCAGTTCTCCTAGATTAGAGTCCGCACACTTAACCACTGCACCAAACTGGCCCACCAAACTACCCCACAGGGTGTCTGTTGTGGGGCGGGGGAAGGGAAAGGAGATTGTAAGATGCTCTGAGACTCCTTCGAGTAGTGAAGGGTGGGGTAGAAATCCAATCTCTTCTCTTCTTCTTCTTCATGTGGCCCCCATGTGCAGATAGCTAAATGCACCAATTGGGGCCACACAGAGGCTAAAGAGGTTTTTTTTTTTTTGTAAACTTGGGGCGCGCCTCAAGTTTGCAGAAAAATCTGAAAATTTTTAAAAAATGCACAGGGGGATTAAAGCCCCCCAAAGTAGAGTAGCATTCTCTGTGCAAGTGCAAATGCTGTTTATTACCTACCTTCTGCGGCGGCGGCAGAGCATCCTGAGGGCTGTGTGATGCCAGGTTCTTTGAGGGGGTGAACAAACATGTGGACAAGGGGGATCCAATAGATATTGTTTACCTTGACTTCCAGAAAGCTTTTGATAAAGTTCCTCATCAAAGGCTCCTAAGTAAGCTCAAAAATCATGGGATAGAAGGACAAGTCCTTTTATGGATCAAAAACTGGCTAGTTCATAGAAAACAGAGAGTGAGTGTAGGTGGGCAATTTTCTCAGTGGAGGGTGGTAAGCAGTGGGGTACCGCAGGGATCAGTACTTGGTCCACTGCTTTTTAACTTGTTCATTAATGATTTGGAGTTGGGAGTAAGCAGTGAAGTGGCTAAATTTGCGGATGATACGAAGTTGTTCAGGGTGGTGAAAACCAGTGAGGATTGTGAGGCACTCCAAAGGGATCTGTCAAAGTTGGGCGAGTGGGCGTCAACATGGCAAATGGGGTTCAATGTGGCCAAGTGCAAGGTGATGCACATTGGAGCCAAAAATCCTAAATATAAATACACGTTGATGGGGTCTGAACTGGCAGAGACTGATCAAGAGAGAGATCTTGGAGTTGTAGTAGATAACTCACTGAAAATGTCGAGACAGTGTGTGACTGCAATAAAGAAGGCCAATGCTATGCTGGGGATTATTAGGAAGGGTATTGTAAACAGATCAGCCAATATCATAATGCCGCTATATAAATCAATGGTGCGACCTCATTTGGAATACTGTGTGCAGTTCTGGTCACCACACCTTAAAAAGGATATTATAGCTTTGGAAAAAGTGCAGAAAAGAGCAACTCGAATGATAAAAGGGTTGGAACACTTTCCCTATGAGGAACGGTTAAGGCGCTTAGGGCTCTTTAGCTTGGAGAAACGACGACTGAGGGGTGACATGATTGAGGTTTATAAGATTATGCATGGGAAAGAGCAGGTAGAGAAAGAGGTACTTTTCTCCCTTTCTCACAATACAAGAACTCGTGGGCACTCCATGAAATTGCTGAGCGGTCGGGTTAGAACGGATAAGAGGAAGTCCTTCTTCACCCAAAGAGTGATTAACACTTGGAATTCACTGCCACAGGAAGTGGTGGCGGCTACAAGCATGGACGGCTTCAAAAGGGAATTAGATAAGCATATGGAGCAGAGGTCCATCAGTGGCTATTAGCCACAAGGTATAGATAGGGACTCTGGGGCAAGTGATGCTCTGTCATCTTGGTGCTTGGGGGGGTCAACAGTGGGATGGCTTCTAATGTCCTGGCCCCACTGGTGGACCTCCTGATGGCACTGGTATTTCTGGCCACTGTGTGATACAGTGTGTTGGACTAGATGGGCCTTTGGCCTGATCCAACATTGGCATCTCTTATGTTCTTATTGATTAACTGCTGCTTAATCAAGGGTAATGTTTGAAGGGAAGGTCAGGCTTGAGTGCTGAAGGGATTATTCCTGAGTGTATGGGTGACCCATTGTTCTGAGTCATGCATCTCTCCAGGGCAAGGAGGGAGTAGTAGCCAGCCAGTCGCTCTGACTCGTGCCTTGAAAACTGCTTTCCCAGGCCTCTGCCTGACTGACATTCATTTTGGGTCCACTTTGGTCCAAGCAGTGCCCTGTACTTAAGGTATTGGGGTGATGTATAGAGGGGTTTTTCTGGCTTTGTAACCTATAAACTGCCCCTCAGTGGGAGGAGGGGTTTGACTGCTAACAATACTAGTGAGCAATGTTCCCTCTAAGCCGTTCTGACTCGTGCCTTGAAAACTGCTTTCCCCAGGCCTCTGCCTGACTGACATTCATTTTGGGTCCACTTTGGTCCAAGCAGTGCCCTGTACTTAAGGTATTGGGGTGATGTATAGAGAGGTGTTTCTGGCTTTGTAACCTATAAACTGCCCCTCAGTGGGAGGAGGGGTTTGACTGCTAACAATACTAGTGAGTCTTCTTAAAATATTACCAGGTGAAAAGCATAGTGCCTATTAGCCATGTTCCCTACTTCAGAGTTCTAGTTGGAACAAACCTGGGCAAACATCTGGGTAGGGAATCAAAACCAAATTCTACTTGGACAAATATGGTTAATTGATTAGCAGAAAACAGAGGTGGAGACAGTGCAGCAACAACTGGTGTTTTTGTGCATTGCATTTAAGATCTAAGCATGGAAAAAGTTTCAGGGGCTTTTTTTTGCTTCTTGCAGGTATTTTAGCCTGGATCACTGTGAACTTTTTAACAGGTAATTGTCAGTACATTATTCAGTTTTAAGGTGGATAGAGCCTCTTTCATAAATACTGTGCAGTCCTCTGGCTGTGGGATATTTTCCTTAGAGAACCAGTGTGGTGTAGTAGTTAAGAGAGTCAGACTAGAAGACCCAGGTTCAAATCCCCACTTGTGTCATTGGAAGCTCACTGGGTGACCTTGGGCCAGTCACAGTCTTTCAGCCTAATTTACCTCACAGAGTTGTTGTGAGGATAAAAGCCTTATATGGTCAGGGTCCGGCATACCTGAGGGACCGCCTTTCCCCACACATTCCCCAGAGAGCACTATGTTCAGGGGCGCAAAATTGGTTGGCCCTTCCAGGCCCCAGGGATGTCAGACTGGCACCAACCAGGGTCAGGGCCTTTTCAGTGGCAGCTCAGTGCTGGGGGAATGAGCTCCTGGAAGAGTTCAGGGCCCTGCGGGACCTTTTACAGTTCCTTAGGGCCTGCAAAACAGAGCTCTTCCACCAGACGTTTGAGTAAGGAGCCGCACTATACACCGAGGAGTGTACCTATGCCCTGGCTTTCCAGTCTGTGACCTGGGTCCTGCTATTGTGGTCTCCAGCCTGTGCTTGCTGCATAATAAATGGGAACTGGGCTGGTGTGAAAGTATTGACATCAAACAGTTACCTAAGCTATGTTATAAAGAACTGTTGCTCTTGTTGCCTGAGTATGTTCCAGCGTTTTATGTATCTATGTTTTAAATGACTGTTATTTTAAGTAATTTATATGCCTATGATAGGTTTTTAATTGTATTTTATGAATTGTGTGTAAGCCACCCTGAGCCTGCCTTGGTGGGGAGGACAGGGTATAAATTAAATAAATTTGTAAATAATAATCTCTCCTTATATTATAAAGCCGATTTGGGGTGGCTTCTGTCCTATGGGGTGGCGAGATTCCATTCACACCAAAATCAGCTGGCCGCCTCAACTGTCGCTCACAGACGAGTCCCGGCCCACTGGCTAGCCTGCGTTGCTCCATTGGCTCACTCCCGCCCACAGAGCCACAGCCCAATCTCTCACACAGCCTTTCTCCCAGAGACACGTTCATCACACCGTCTCACTATCCATTGCTGGCTGCGTTGCCAAGGTCTGACCATCCATTGGTGCCTTTGTTGCCATGTGTGGTCAAAGTCCCGGAAAATCACTCCCGCCCACAGAAGCCCCCGCCAACGTCTCACAATCACTCTATGAGGAGACGCTGGACTGGATGGACCGGCGGCTGCTAGCGGCCACATGTGCACATCTCGGGAGGCAGCGGCATGGGCCCGCCTGGCCTCGCCGCAGCCTGCTGCCTCCCTCCGCAACGGGCCGCGATGGCCTGGTCTGCGCCTCCACTGCCTTCCTGGCCACACTCCGCTCGCGCCCTCCTCGCCCCTACCTCCCACGCCTGCCTGCTCGTGCGAGGACACTGATGGGAGGGGAGGGAGGGACCTTGGTGGCTAGCTGTGGCCCCGGGGCGATGGCACATGGCCGTCGCAGATGCCAACAAGGGCGCTAGCCCAGCTGGATGGCCACGGAGAGGCTGCAGAGTCACCACTCTGGCCGCTCAGGGGCTGACCGCAGTGCCCACACCCCGCAGGCTGCTGGGTGCCGCCGGACACTCGCCCCTCGACACCGCCATCTTGGTAGCAGGGGGAGGGCGGACGTGCCGCTCCTCTGTGTCCTCAAAGCCGACTCGGGCAGGGAGCCGCTGTTGTCCCGTCCCCTCCACACCCCACGCCCGGCGTCTGAGGAGCACCTACAAAGCGGGGAGCCTGGGGGGAGCTGCGAGGCGGTGGCTACAAGGTGGGCCCCCTTTCTAGCGCTCATTTCATACTTGCTGCAACGAGCCTTGCTCCTAGTAAATAATAAAATGGTGGAGAGGAGAATGATGAAAGCTGCTTTGGGTCCCCACTGCGGAGAAAGGTGGGGTATAAATGAATTAAATAAATAAATACATCTGCTAAAGTATTATTTGATTCTGCTGCAACCCAGCCAGGGCTATGAAAAAAGTATGGGAACATGTGGGCAGTCTTTGAACGTCTTCAATGATATTTGTAGGGCAACTGTATGGCCGGAACCAGCAGACTGTAGGGACCTTGGACCTGGGAGGAGCCTCGACTCAGATTACATTCTTGCCACAACTAGAGGTGATCAATGGGTTTAATTCAGTATTTTTTGTAACTTCGGGTAATATCATTTTTCTTTACCTTCTGTGTTATTGCTTAGGTTGGTAGACTTGATCAGGATTTTAAACAGCATTATAGGGAATGTGAAATGAAATATATGGTGCAGTAGTTAGCATGTTGGATTAGGTTGATTTATGTTGGGCCAATCACACTCTCAACCTAGCCTACCTTAAAAGAAGAGCTGGAAACCATAGACACTGTCCTGAACTCCTTGGTGGAAAGGTGGGATTAAAATGTATTAAAATAAATAACATATATAACATAACATGTAGCTTTGCTGCTTTTCAAACTCTAAGCCTTACCTGTTTAAAGCAGTGCAGCGATCTAAACATTCAGGCTTGCTTGGATGTCTTGACTGTCTCTTACTACATTTTTATCCCACCATTCCTCCAAGGATTGCATATGGTTCTCCCTTCCTTCATATGGGGGCCATGGCTCAGTGGTTGAGTGCTTGCAGAATGTCTTGGGTTCAATCCCTGGCTCTAGCGGTACATGGTCAGATTCTCTAATCTGTATTCAGCTTAAATAATACCCAAAAAATACCAGTAAGGTATTTTTTGGGTATTTTTCCAGCTCTGTTTATGCTGAATGCACACCCACACCTTCCACTACTGCTGCTGCCCAGTCACTACCCTTTGTGGATTCCTCTGCCCCAATCACCATTGGAATTGTTCGTTCTCTTCTGCTGATGTGGCCATTGATCCCCGAAGGAGACATCAAAGACTGCAGCAACTATTGGACCATCACATTAAAATTTCCCACGCAAGTAACATGATCCTCAAAATTCTACAGCAAAGTCTGTTACTGTATATGGAACGTGAAACATCAGATGTTCAAGATGGATTCAGAAAAGGAAGAGGTACTAAAGATCATGTTGCAAATTTACATTGGTTGCTGAAGCATACAAGAGAATTTCAGAAGAAAATCAGCTTGTGTTTTATAGATTACAGCAAAACCTTTGACTGTGTGGATCATGAAAAGCTATGGTTGGCTTTAAAGGAAATGAGTGTGCTTCAGCATCTGATTGCTTTGATGTACAACCTATACTCTGGACAAGAGGCTACTATTAGGACAGAATATGGAGGAACAGAGTGATTTCCAATTGGCAAAGGTGTCAGACAAGGATGTATTTTATCTCCCTATCTCTTTAATCTATATGCAGAATATATCATAAAGAAAACTGGATTAGATTTAGATGAAGGTGCTAAAAAGTGGCGGAAGAAACGTGAACAATTTGAGATATGCAGATAACACCATGTTATTGGCAGAAAACAATGAAGACTTGAAATGTCTACTGTTGAAGGTTAAAGCAGAGATTGCTGAAGCAGGATTTCAGCAGAGATTGTTGAAGCAGGATTACATCTGAACATCAAGAAGACAAAAGTAATGACTTCTGGGGAATTAAACAACTTTAAGGCTGATGATAAAGAAAATGCAGTTGTTCAAGATTTTCTATTCCTTGGCTCCATCATCAACCAAAAGGGAGACTGCACCCAAAAAATCAGAAGGAGATTGAGACTGGGAAGGGCAACCACGAAGGAGCTAGAAAATATCCCTAAGTGTAAAGATGTGTTGCTGGTGACCAAGATCAAGTTAATTCATGCCTTGTATTCCCAATTATTATATATTGGTGCGAAATGGACAATGAAGTAAGCTGACAGGAAGTAAGCTCCTTTGAAATGTGGTGTTAGAGGAGAGTATTACGGATACTATGGACCGCTAAAAAGACAACTAAGTGGGTTCTAGACCAAATCAAGGCTCAATTCTCCCTAGAAGCTAAAATGACTAAACTGAGATTATCATATTTTGGTTGCATTATGGGAAGACAAGAGTCACTGGAAAAGACAATAATGCTAGGAAATGTTTAAGGCAGCAGGAAAAGAGATGGATTGATTCAATCAAGGAAGCCATGGCCCTCAGTTTGCAAGACCTAAGAATGGCTGTTAATGACAGGACATTTTGGAGGCTATTAATTCATAGGGTTGCCATGAAGCAACTGGACAGCACTTAACACACACACACACACACACACACACACACACACACACACACACACTTTCTGGAGGTAGCTGTGCTACGAATAACTGATCAGAATTCTTTTTGCTGTTGTAGAAAGGCAGTCTTTCTGACTAATGTTGATGTATCTGTTTACATAATCTATATGAAAATCAACAAGTTTCTGACCTGTTTTCTTACAAAATAATCTTTTTTCTCATTATCCTAATTTTAGGGTACCCTGGAACAAACACCAGTGGATTTCCTTACCTCATTTGAAATGTTCAACAGCACTTACAAGCTCTACACACACAGGTGAGTAGAGACGTCCCCGTACAAACAGCCATTTTCCAGTGTATCTTGAAACTCGTCAAAGCATCATATATCTTAAAAATTATATACAGATTTAAAGCCAGTATACTTTGCTGATCATCAGAGTTATTTTAAAAAAACTGCTGCTGAGTGCCAGAAATAGGTGTAATCTTTTGCAATATAATAGTGTGTGCATTACAATAAACAGTCACATGCTGGCAAGTAGGAGATTATTTCAGCAGAATTCATACTTCTAAGTAGACTGTTACCTAGTTTTTCACAAGTGGGATGGATTAGAATGCACATTTTTAAACACATGCCTTACACTGAGTCAAAGTGCTGGGCCATCTCATTCAGAATAGTCTACTCTGATTCACAGCAGAGAGAGGGTCTGGGGCAGAGAGAGGTTATTTGCATCATGTGCAGCCTGAGGTTCTTTAACTGGAGATGATAGGGATAAAACCTGGGAGCTTCTACAGGTGAAGGATGTTCTCTACTACTGAGTCATTAGTCCTTCTCCTTTTAGTTAACATATAAGCAATATGTTTCCTTGTTTACAGCTATTTAGGTTTTGGGCTGAAGGCTGCACGACTAGCAACATTAGGAGCCCTGGAAAGGGAAGGTAAGGTTGGGTACAATAAACTGTGTTGTTTTCTGACATCTATGCAGCTTCCACATTTCCCAACTGAAGTCTCATTCTTGTCTATGAGGCTCCTCCCTTGCTGGCACCGCCCCTTCATCCTCCTCTGTTGTACCCCACTGCCTTGTGGTCAGGTGTCAGACTCCTGCAGCAATCAGTTCCCAACAGCTTTCATTCAAAGAAGTAAAGTTTATTGAGACATTGAGAGTATGCAGATATCTTAACCATTTTGTGTTAGAACTAAAATAAAGCACGCGAAGCAAACAGTTATATATTGTTCAAGGAGGCCCCCTGATGGCCCAGGGCCAATCAGGGGCCAGGTAGAAGCCCGCCAAAGTAGTGGGCTGCTTTTCCTAAGAGAAATACTACACCAGGCACTGAAGGTCATACAGAGATAATAGAAACACAGAAGACACAGCAGAATTGAAACTTAACATTCCAGAGTCACGCCACTCCCATGACAGCCAGGGGTTGAGAGAGGCCTAGCTGACATCAGGTCAGGCATTGGACCCGGCCACAGACTCTGTGTTTACTGGTGGTGGTTTGTCTAGGAAACAGGAGATGATACTTGTTTCCAATGTAAATATTTAAGGCATTTCTGTACTGCCTTTCTCTGCATGTGGACTCACGGTGGTTCTGCACAAAGAGAAGGAAATAAGATACAGTGTAACTCAGTGTTAATTCCAGGAGGATTGTGGGAGAATCTTACGCTGGCCAACCAAGAAAATAGATACAGTTTGGTAAAATGCTTGTCAGGAATGATGTTTTGTGGTTTCAGCCACCTGAACTTGGTCAGGGTATCCATGTTTAAAGCTATTATTTCCAAGTATGGTTTGAAAATCCCATGCATGCATTGGGTTGTTGCTATCTGGAATGGCAGCCAATACTGTCAATATGAAAAAATCAGCATTTTGTATTTTTCATTCTGACAGAAAGTTAGGAGAAATAGATGTATTTTAACTGCCTTTCTAAAAACTTCTGTGGCGGGTGGCAGATGAACTGGGGAGAGTACATTCTGTAGTCTTGGCACTGCCACCTAAAAGACTCTGCTGCATATTATTGCTGCCCATCAAAAGGATAGAGCGTACAGGTCAGTTCCTATTGGAGAATGTGGTCCTTTAGCTATCTCTCATCTCCAAACTGCTTAGGTCTTTAAGGGTCAAAACCAGTACTTTGAATTGTGCTTGCAAATTAACTGACAGCCAGTGTAAATGATTCAGAGTAGATGTCATGTAATCTTGGCACTGAGCCCCAGTCAGCATCCAAGTAACTGCATTTTATGTTAACACTTCCAAGAATTCTTCAAAGGCAGCCCGATAGACTGTTAAAGTAATCTAATCTGGCTTCTATTAGGGCATGTGTAACTGTGATGAGGGATGACTTTTACAGGAAGGATCACAGATGGTTTGTGTATCTAAGCTAAGAGGCACTCCTGCCATCTGCTGGGACCCTGACCACACAGTTGGAAGTGTGGGGTCAAGGACACGAACTATGAACCTGAGATTTCAGGGAAGTTACAGTTCCATCCAGAACAGGTTGACTCTCATACCCAGGATCAACAGGATCTCCAACAGATAGCATCTCCTTGTCAGGATTAAATTTATTTGTTCACCAGCCTCCAGACTTTCACTGCCTTCAGATTCTAGTCCAGATAATCCACTGCCTCTTTAGGATAAACAGAAAATAAGAAAGAGGACAGTGTGTGTTCACCTCTCCCAAAGGTTTCATGAAGATATGAAAAATACTGGATACTGTGCTGGGTGTAGGCATTCAGCCAAGCAGTTGTGTGTGCACTCTGCCTACAGTGTTTGGTTAAGTTGGTGGTGTACAAGAGAAATCTTTGCTGCATTGTGACTGAAAAGAAAAAAATGTGTGTGTGTGTGTGTATATAGCTCTTAGAAGGACGTGCCAGTGTCCATGCCTACTGAGTCTGACTTAGGTGCCACTAAGGAAAGGTGGTTTTGGGGGTTCAGGGCAGGGATTGTATGCAGAGTGATGGATTGAGTGTGCAGAGAGATAATAACCTCCCCCTCCCCAGTTTCCAATTTGATTTGGGAAATCCATCAATCTTTATCTGCTAGGTGGCAGTGGTAGCCCTGCCCCTTGCTACAGTATGGTGGGTGGTCCTGCTGACATTGGAAATGCACATCCCAAACTCACTAGAACAAACCCACTGGCATGCATTAGTGACACTGGCATGCATTAGTGAAGTGTGTCCTTCAGTCTTGGCCCCACCAGTTAATCATGATAAACTTTTGCTTTGAAATGGGAGCTTTAATTGATCCATTTTCTTCAGGTTCTGCCTCCTAGCTACTTTTTTTAAAAAATCACAGTTTATTAATGTTTATAGTGAACGATAATACAAAATATTAATTTTCTAGCAGTCTATTACATTATTCACCCCCTTTATTAATAGAAAGTATTCTCCGGCTCATCCACTGACTCCTATTATATCTAAATGCTAAACGAGGATTACTTTCTATTCTTACTATTGTTATGCTACCCGTTACATTTTATTTTATTTAGTTCCCTAGATTCTTCTTCCTTATTTGTATTAATTACAGTACATACTTTAACATAACATTAGTCATTCTTCAGTTAACTACTTGCTGTTAAATACTTCCAATTTATTCTTAAAAAACAAACAAGTTCACCTAGAAAAGAAAACCAAATGGGTTGCCTCTCATACCTGAGGCCGAAAGCTCGGCAGAAAGCCTTTCCTCCTCCTGTGAGAGGACTTACGGGGGGTTATTTAATTATAAACTGTTTACAAATCATACTAGTTTCCCATATTCCATATAATTATTTGTTTAAATAAATGTGTTGAGTTACTTAGAATTGCTCCTTCAGTTAAGTCTTAAAGGTCTCATATTTCTATGGATTACCACATAAGCGTCACTAAACATTTCTTACTCCTTTACACACGCAGCCAAAAGTTTTTTCCAGACAGGTCATCAAAGGCTATTAGAGTTTTGTTATCCAAATGAACACAGATACGTCCTAGAGACGTATTTTTTTAAATGACATTTGTATTCCAGATTTTCATGTGTAACCATCAATTAACAGTATGAAATACAGCCAAATACACTTAAGTAGTATAACAACATACAAATTGTATACGTACTCAGTGCACGTACAACAGTGGGGGATTCCCCTAAATTCGTCTTCTGTGTAGTGATTACAATACATTTCATAACCTATTATAAATATCAAAAGTATGCAAGTATAAAATAATACATAGTTCTATAGTATTTGGAGAGATATCTTGACAACCTCAGGTATACGTTTAACCTTGTTGTTGTTCAGTCGCACCAGTCGCGTCCGACTCTTCGCGACCCCATGGACAAGATCTCCCCAGGCCCTCCTGTTTCCCGCCGTCCTCTGAAGTGTGCTCAATTTCATGTTCATTGCATCTATGACACTGTCTAACCATCTCATCCTTTGCCGTCCCCATCTTCTTTGACCTTCAATCTTTCCCAGCATCAGGGTCTTCTCCAGTGAGTGCTCCCTTCTCATTTGGTGGCCTAAGTATTTGAGCTTCAGTTTCATTATCTGGCCTTCCAGGGAACAGTCAGGGTTGATTTCTTTTAGGATTGACTGATTTGATCTCCTTGCAGTCCAAGGGACTCTCAATAGTCTTCTCCAGCACCAGAGTTCAAAAGAATCTATTCTTTGGCGCTCGGCCTTCCTTATAGTCCAACTCTCGCAGCCTTACATGACTACTGGGAATACCATTGCTTTGACCATGCGGACTTTTGTTGGCAGGGTGATGTCTCTACTTTTTATCATGCTGTTTAGGTTTGCCATCGCTTTCTTCCCAAGGAGCAGGCGTCTTTTAATTTTATGGCTGCTGTCACAGTCTGCAGTGATCTGGGCTCCCAGAAACATGAAGTCTTCAAGCTAGATGGCGCCAAATATATTTTTGCTCCTCTGGACCTATATTCACAGAACAGAGTGGGCCATCTCTGATCTAGAAAATCATTTATCTTTGCTCATTTTCAGCAAGCTTGTTGAACTCTGCCACTGAGTGAACATATTCTTTATTTCACAAGCTGCAATTCATGTTTAGGTCCCATTTATGTCAAGCATATTTTTCTAGACAGTGGATAAAAGACAGTACCCTTGCCTTAAATCTCATTTTCCCAGTAGAGAGAGTAGTTTCCTAAGAGGTGTTCTCAGATGACCCTCCCCTTAAAAGGCCACTGCATCTCACAACAGAGCTTCATAATTCTCAGCAGTGTTGCTTTTATTTATATTGCTAAACAAAAATGATGAGATGTATTACAAGATTGATCGAGGATGACCAGCCAAAGAACCACAGCTGCAATGCTTGTGACTTACCGTGCACATTTGGGAGAAAAAAATTACTGTAGACACCAACTGCCTTGCGGGGGGGGGGGGGGGTTTGGGGGGGGGAATGGCCTGAAGTCCAATCAGCTTCCATATGCAAAATACCAGGTTGTCGCAGCAGTTGTGGTGTGGGCGGGACCCGGGCTTTGCCTTCTGATTGGTGGCGATATATGCTGAGGAGCAGTGCCATCAGCCATACACTAAGGGAGTGCATTTTAGAATTAGAACTTTGGCACCCACTATTCAATTATATATAAGGAGAGATAAGCAAGGTGACAATATACATCCTTGTCGTACTCCTTTTTACATTTAACCTAGTATGTTTTAATTCCAATTATGCAGGAATAGTCCTTAGAGTAAGGCAGATTTCATAACCATTTGTAGTATTGAGACCAAGATGTGGGTATAACTTCTTCTCTTGTAAAAAAATCTAGTATGGGTTCCCATTTTTCCATTAATTTATTAGAAATTGGCCGTAATGAAGCGTTGTTCAGTTTGCAAGTGACATATTCCATCAAGAATTGATCCCATAATTTTCTGTACCAGATTTGAGTTCCAGGAGGGCGGTTGTCTTTCCAGCACGTAGCAATGGAGGTCCTAGCAGCGTATATCATTATGTCCATTGTTTTTTT